ATACTATTTTTTGTTACATCGCATGTCATGTCATTCTCCACATCACTTCATTTTCATGTCACTCTTTTTTCTTTTTCTTTTTTATTTTTATTTTTAAGAAATAAATTTTATAAAAACATATCACTTAAAAAATATATTACATGAAATAAAGACATTACAAGAAACTAAAAAATGTTATGATAATTGAAAAACATACAAAGATAATTAATTTAAATTTTGTAACATCCCGTTATGAAAAGTTTCTTATTTCAGAATTTTGGGTTTGAAATGGATTGTTTAAAGGCCTTGAGGTTCAAGGGAATGAGGTTTAGACCTTATTGGATGATGATAATATTGATTAAGTGATTAAAGCCTTCGATTTGTGCTTGGATGAAAGAGGGTAATATGGGAAAAGTAATATTTTAGGCTTATTGTATGGATTAAGGTTTTAGTTCGACATATTAAGTCAAAAGTAATTAGATAGGGTTGTGGGATGGTCAATACCTTTCCATAGATATAAAGATCACCAAAAACATAGTTGAAGCGAAGAAGTTATGGTTGTTCGAAGTTGAGGTGAGTTTGGGTGAAAGTCGTGGCCACAACATGGGGTTCAGCCAAGCCCAAGCCCATTATTATCTTTAGGGTTTTCAATGTATTTAAGCTTAATGTTCTGAATTTTTGGGCATTTTATCAACCTCCAACATGTTTATAACACCATGGGAGAAACCCTAGCCTCCACCTTCAAGAATTGAGCTTCTCATATCTCTTATTTACTCTTTCGGATGCTTTTTATGCTAGTTTAAAGGAGCTTGAAGATCAAGAAGGTTCTTTTGGTTTGAAGGAATAATGCTTCAAGTTTGGACCCATTAAAGGCATTGCATTTCTGGACTATTGTAGGTATAAAGTCTCAATCTTCCTATCTATTTCATTTGGATCTTGTCATTGGTAGTTTTGTTGGCACTCTTGGTCCATTTTGTGAGTGATATTGGATTTGAGTGGACTACAACATCTTTTGGATAAATTTGAATGCATCTTGGACCTCTTGGACTAGGAAAGTAGTGATCTTTTTCCTTCCCTTACAGCCATGCAAGTTATTGTGGCCCATTAGGCCAATTTGGTGTATTAAAGGTTAGATCTTGGAATATTGTGGTATTTTTATGGAAAAAGTTGGGAACATTATCAATTTAGATAGGTTATTGATTCAGATCTAATATCTGGAGACTTGGAATTAATAGATTAAGTTGAGAAACATGCATTTTGGGTCACATTGAGACATAAAATCTAGATCTTGGTGGTTTGGACCTTCCTGATGGATAAATTTAGAAACTTTGTCCATTAAGACATTGGAAAGAAACAGATCTAAGAAATCGAGCTCTTGAAATTAAGATAAAATGGATTAAGCTCGTTTGAGTTAGTCAAATTGGTCCTCACAGCGTGGCCTTAGGCTGTCACGACGTGGCAACTGGGGAGTCAGTGACTATTTTGGCGTTTTGTGCCCATGACATGGCCAAGGAAGGCCAAAAAGTGTAGGGTTGTTGATTGACTATTTTGACTTTGACTTTGATTGTTGGCTTTTTGACTAGTTTGAATTTTGGTCAAACTGGGTAGAAGTGAATATATAGATAAGGCGTTGTCTTGGCTTAGTTTTAGGAAGTTTAGGTTGTTTGTATTGTTGTTGAGGTAGCTGTGGATCTTAAGTTACGTTGTTCAAGTAAGTTTTCCTCATTGTACTTGTGGGTCGAAGGCACCAATGTCAGCCCAGTAGATTGCATATTTTGGTTTGGAATATTGCTATGTTATAGTGATCTATTAATATCTACATGATTATTTAGTTGTTGTTTTGTGTTTTATCTATTATATATGTCAACATAGTATGGTTGGGTTAAGACTATACTCCTTTGTGATACCAGTCAATAAACCCAGGGCAATCCAACCCGAAGGATGTGGGCCAAGGGTAATCCAACCGGGAGGTTGTGGACCTAACATGTATTAGGAAATGCAACCGAAAGGTTGTGGACCAAAGGCAATCCAACTGAGAAGTTGTAGGCTAGGGGTAATCCAACCAAGAAGTTATGGACCCAATATGTATTAAGCAATCCAACCAAAAGGTTGTGGGATAGGGCAATCCAACCAGATGGTTGTGGGCTAGGCGTAATCCAACCAGGAAGTTGTAGACCTAGTATGTGTTTTGTAAATGATCGGTTGTGTGGTATTTGGGAGAACTCACTAAGCTTTGGTTTACAATTTAAGCTTTATGTTTCAAGTACTTCAGATGATCGAGGAAAATCAAAGGTATGGTCGTGCACATCCATTTTGTTTTTTGATTTTGGATTTTGGGATACTTTCATTTGTGATTATTACTATTAGGGACAATGTTCGGTAACTAATTATGGGTTTTGGTTGAATTTTAAAAATAAAAATTTTCCTTGATTCTTAGGATGTTAGAAGTTGGTATCAGAGCCCTAGTCTGACTGAATAGAATGAGCATTCGTGTGAATCCATACACAAGTTACGGATCGGCAAAAAAACTCAAAATAATTTCCAAAATAGTTTTCAAAAGTAGTTTTCAGATAGTTTTCTAAATTGTTTACAAGGATAACCGAGAAGGATGAGCTCTTTACCATCAGCTAGAGTAAGAAAGTATACCTAAGTTACCTAACTATTATTTTCTTATGATGATTATGATAGAAATACATGCTAGTTGTAGGGTAGGGATCTTCAAGAATTTCATGATAGAATTGGCTGAATTTTGATGCTTTATTCCTTATAGAGATTTCCACACGAATGCTACTAGCTTTGTGCTTTGTAGGACTCATCCGTATGCGAATTAACTACTAAATAAATATGTTAAGTCACATGCTACAAAGGTTAAATAATCTTAGAGTGAAGGATTTGGTCCTATTGTGCAGCTCTTGTTTGAGTCCAACCGTTGTAGGCTAAGCCTTTTAATCTACGATTATATAAGTTATGTTGCATGTGACTGTATTAATGAAGTAGTTATCTAGCACAAATGAGGGTCTTTCGGCAGCTTATGGTAGGTTGAGGTGAGGATCCTAGGATAGTCTAGGAAGTGTATAGTACATGTGATACGCTGTTTAGAAGATTCGGGATGGTTCTTGAGGAAAGTATGGATAGGTGTGAAAGGTAGTATTGGGCCGATACTATAGGATGCATCAGATCCATACTCGAATTGAGGGAAATCACGAGGCTTCTAAGGAGCTGGTTGAGGGTAGATAGCATGGTTTGATCCCATGATTCTTTGTCGTGATTCTATATTTGTCAATCTTTTGGATATGGTTGTCCATGCGATGGATGTGTCTAGTGATTTTTTGGGCTACTCATTATAATCTACTTTGAAGTAATAAAGAGGAATTATTTGAATATTATGTGAATCATATGACTTTATGTGCATTATACTCATTTATAAGATATAATAAGTTAAGAATAAACAATTTGCATAAAAAATACAATAATAGATAGATCCAATATCTATGAAGAAAGTTGTAGTGGTCGTGACAAGGATTCCGGAGATTTAACAAACGCTGAAAGCTGACTTATAATGAAGAAGTTACGATCTGTCAAAGGTTCGCGACAAAACCGACACGACGCTGTGTGACAAAAAAAGTGAATTTACGATAAAGTAATTTTTAGCCTTAACGATATAACCGACAGTTGTGGTATACGTAAAACTGAGAGTGTGCATAAAAAGAACGCACTAATCTGAATTCAAATGAGGAAGTTATGATTTTTCTAATATTGGGCATAACAGTATGCAACCCGGGATTTGAATTTTAGATCGATCAGTTTTTAGCCGACACAACCTAAATGAGAATTGAAGATATCGTTAATAGGATCTCAACGATAAAAAGACAAACAAAAACGGACGTCGGATGACAAAGTTATGAATTTTTTAACAAACTTTACCTATCCAGGCGTGTTAAAATATACATTTAAAAATAAATTCAAGATTAGTCAAGGTAGTCTAAATGAAAGTTGTAGAGTATCTCTCCACCTGTGCACGAATATAAAGAACGTCGAAAATGAAGGTCGTATGCGAAAGATACAAAATTTAAAAGTTGGAAAAGGCTATTGTGAGGGAACATGTGTATGCCCTGTGTACACAAAAGGAACTCCCTATGGTCTCGCATACTTGGCCTAGAAGAGTACCACGTCGCCCCATTCGAACTCCAACACATGCCCCCTGGTAAGCAAAGCATAGTCCTCATACGCGCAGCATATAGATACACACAACATACCTGCGAGGAGCGCCCAAGATACCGAGGACCAGGCCTCTTATAAATACCATGCGAGTGTTGCCATTAAATCCCATACCATAACCCTTCTCTCTCTCTCTCTCTCTCTCTCTTTTTATATCTCTGTCTAACATCTCTCTAAACCTCCCCCCAACCTCTGTACTAACCAAGTGCTCATAGGCGAGTCCCAACGCTATAAAGCTCCGAGAAGAAGAGCTTTTCGGCTCAAAAGTTCTTCCCCTGTCGAGCCCGGTTCCTAGCCAAACCTCCCAGTAAGTGAGTTATGCTTACCCTACTTTAAGTATAGCTTATGTTTAAGTTTATTATCATTAATAAGAACATTATCATTAATATAATATTATATTATATTATATTATATATATATATATATATATATATATATAATATAATATACTAAGTGTTATTATAATACATTTTAACTACTTGCGGTCAAGGTTGGAAAAAACGCTCGACGGTAGCTCGGCGGTGGACTAGGGTCAATGGATTAATTGTCTAGGCGAGGATTAATCGGGGACCATTAATTATTAAGAAAATTATTTAAAAATTAATAAGTCTAACTTTATTCCTAATAATATAAGTAAATAAGCAAAAAAGTTTAATAACTAGTTCAACAAACACAACAAATTATCATCCAAAATAAACATAAAAGGCCATCCGACTCATAATGAGTTCAACAAGCATACCATATTATCCTACAACAAAGTCCATAATAAGTTTAAGTAGCACAAAACAAAAACATATTTTCTTCTAATCTTCACCGCATACTTCCATTATTTGAACCCCATCCGACTCATATTCGTCTTCTTCTAGCACTTCCTCCTCACTTTCGGACTCAAAATCTTCATCGGAAAGTTCCCACATTCTTAAACTTTCTCGGGGAGCTTCAATATCATCGGTTGCTAGAGCTTCATTAACCGTTTCGGGGTATTCTTCGACTACATCATGATTATCACAATCACCAATCCATTCTTGAGCCGAGTGTGAATGATTTGCTAATAGCACTTCCATAGTTCTATCTTTTCTCTTTTTTTTGTTTTCCCATTAAATTAGCATTGAATTGAACATAAACAAGATTGTTCAATTTGCTTGTCTCCAATCTATTTCGTTTTGTTTTTTGTGTATGTACCTAGAAATATGAACACAACAAAGAGTTGAAATGTGATTAATATTTAAATTTTATAAAATATAAATTTAATACTTTATGTTACTAACCCCCTCAAACGTGCTCTAATCTTCACCGCATACTTCCATTAGTTAAAGAAAAAATCCTCATTGCAATCTTTGTCAAATGAGGAGTTGTGCCACCAAATAGTCCCCACCAACTAGCTATAATTTTTGAAACAAAAACACATTATTAATCGATAAATATAAAAAATTTATAAAATAGTTAACTAAAAATAAAATGAATTACCTGGATCGAACTCGGCATCGTTCACCGCACAATGTTTAATTGCAAGATCGCAACCAAATCTATCAACTTTTTTCTTGTACTTTGGCAAGTCAATAGTCACGACTTGCCTTTGCATCTCGAAATTTCCACGAAGTATTCTCAAGAACGCCATTCATTATATGGGGATCATATTGGATATTTGGATCCATATAATGATAATACGGATTCAAAAGATACGACGTTAAATGCAAACTTGAATCTAGATGACCTTTCATTTTTTTTTTGTCTATGATATCTATAATAGGCTTGTAAGCTTTCTCGTTACCACCCAATGATTTGATAATTTCTTCTTTTGCACCTTTAATCTCTCCGTAAACAAAACCCATTGAGGGCTTCCAATCCGCATCAACCATTGAAGGACTTTCACCAAAGGAGAGAACACCTTTAAACATTGTGTCACATCGGACCAAAATTGGACACTTGACACCGTTTTATACGAGGCAATCCCTTTAGGCTTACTGGAAAATTTACATTCCTCCCATTGGGTGCTAGAAAACATATGTCTTAGTTGCTCCTTTTTTTCAGCCAAACTTTGTAATGTTAGGAAGGCGGAAGCAAATCTTGTGACTCCCGATCGGATAATTTCCCTTTTGTTGGTGTAGCTTCTCATCATCGCCAAGGTTTTGTGGTGAGCGTAAATGAATATGGTTAGTTTCTTTGCTTGATCTAGGATTTTTTTAAACCTTAGGAGTGCTCCGATACCTTGAAGAAATAAACACAATTAATTAACAAAATATAGTAGAAAATAAACATTCTAAAACGAAATAAAGTAATAAATATAATAAATACAACAAGTAAAAAAAAATAATGTACAAACCTTCAAGCATAAGGTTAATTGTATGTGTTGCACATGATGTCCAAAAAATAGATGGTCTTTTCTCTTTTAGCAACTTTGCCGCCCCCATGTTATTTGTGGCATTATCGGTCACAACTTGAACAAGATGCTCGTGACCAACTTGTTGAATGCAAGAATCCACATACTCAAATATGTTTTGGCTTGTATGTGCTTCGTTGGAAAAATATTTTGAAGATAAAAACAGTACCCATCTTCGAATTAACACATAAATTCATAATGCTCCTCCTCTTTCAATCGGACCAAGCATCTGTCATAATCGAGCATCCATCCTCTTTCCATTCTTGTTCGGTTTTTTTCAACAACTTTTTTGTTCGTTCAAGCTCATGCTTTAAAAGTGTGTCACTCAAAGCATATCTACTAGGAGGTGGAAGCCCGGTTCCAAATTGTCCAACAACCTCCAACATCATTTTGAAGCTATCCCTTTCAAATGCATGAAAAGGAATCGCACTCTCATATGCCCATCTACTAATGTATTTATGGACCGTTAATATTCTTTCTTTCCGGACAACATTGTTAAGATCAACATTTTTTCCTTTTCTTGCATTCAATGCTTCTTCGGGGTTTATTATGTTTGCAAAACAATCCATGGGGCCTATAACATTTGGTGCTTTCAATCCCAAAGAAGCTTCTACTCTATCCACGCTATCATTAAATTCTTGTCTCACCTCTGATCTTAAGTCCTCATCTTGCATTTGTTTAGCTTTCTTTTTTAACTTCCCTTCATTAATATAATTTCGACATTTCAATTGATCATCTTTTGTAGAATTTGGACATGAAGATACGTTCCCCTTCACATGAGCAATATGTTGTTTCATTCTAGTAATCCCCCCGCCAAACGTTTTTCCACACAATTTACATTTTAATCTATCCAAATTGCTTTTATCCGGGATAAAACCATATTCCCAACCAACATCATCTGAATTCCGTTTATGTGCATCCGCGGCGGTTGATCCGACAAATGGTGTAGTTGAAGCATTAGAAGTCATTGATTGTCAACTGTAATCATAATCATCACATTAACACATTAATGGTTATCAATCAACCAAACACCTTACAATTGCTCAACATATCTTTACATATTCATGTTAAATGCTAAAGTGTTAGAAAAAAACTTAACGTGTTCATATTAGTTCTAAAACAAATTAACATGTTCATATTAGTTCTAAAACAGATTAACATGTTCATATTAGTTCTAAAACATATTCAAAATATGCATGTTAAACAGATTAGAGCTACAAACAAAGTAACTAACACAACAAATTAAACAGATTGGAGCTGAAAACTTGAACTAGAAACATATAAGATTCCAAAGATGCTTAAACATATTCATCAGATTACAGATTACTTAATCTCAAATAACACAACAAATTCAACAGTTGGAAAATAAGACAACATATTAACAGTTGGAAAAATGCTTAAACAGATTAAACAGCTAGAATACGCTTGAAGCCTTAAACTAAAAAATTGATCTCAAATAACACAACAGATTCAACAGTTGGAAAATAAGACAACATATTAACACAAATACACAACTAATAAAAAATATGCTTGAAGCCTTGAACTAAAAAATTGAATCCAAAATGTAACATATGGATTTCTAGAAATTGCAATTGGTGCAGCAAATAGAAGAATGAGAAGTGGAGACGGGATACTAACCTGAAGGAGAAGTCTTCGGACGAACAACAAGCGTTGAACAAAGAACAGAAGGCATCGAAGCCTCTCACAGAGCTTTAGCAGGCGACGATGCTCGAACGAACGCAATATGCTTCAGTCTAACTTCCGATGAGCAAGATGGCAGCGTCCTTAGAAGAAGAGACCGACGTCGTAATTGGCGAAGAACTTGGCGTCGTTCGTTCTTGAGTCCGACACAGAGAGATTTCAAAAAGAAAAAAAGATTGAATGCGATGGAATGGGGAAAATCAGATGGAACCCTACCACAATTTTTACATTTTGAATATTTTAGCTCGTGAAAGTTTTTAAATCCCGTTGACCCGCATTGACCGATAATCACGCCTAGACCCGCCTACATCCGATAATATCCGACTTTGACCGGTTTTGACCAGGTTCGATTAGAGAGGCCGATTACCTATAAACGTTATCAGTGGAGGATCGCCAAGCGCCTAGGCATCGATTAATCGGCCGCCTAGGCCAATATTTACAACACTGCTTGCGGTACAGAATCTGGTTTGAAGGGTCACATAGGGTTGTTGGATTTCAGAAGTGTTATAATGTTAAAATGGTCCTGTCCTCCGTTGTTTCATGTTAGGCCCCTGTCTGTAGATAGTGGTTAAAAAGTATTGTTTAACACTTATAAAACAAAATCGCACGTAATTAGTAGCAATAAAATATTAGACTAAATCTAGTGATAATAATACTAGGTTTCGCCAAAGGAAAATAAATTATTTGAAGCAAAGCACTACCTGAGTTTGGAATCATCACTTTAACAAGTGAGTGCATAGTTACTTTCATCTTACATTTAGATATCAAGTATTTAATATAAATTACATGCTATGTGCTCATATTATTTTGGTTGATGATATCTATGCTGGATGAATGATTTATACATGTTTTAAATCATTTAAACTATATATGTATTTTATATCTCTGAATATGTTGGGTAGAACACGGGTAGATGAAATAGTTGATGTGTGATGAAATAAAATCATGAGATGCCTCGATGTTTAAGCTGACTTAGTCATCTAGCATAGTATAGATGGCGACCACAGACTATTCTAGACAGTCTAGTATAACGCTAGCAGGCTCGCAACTTGTAGGTGTTTGTGAACGACGTGTTCACCAGTGTACTCCATCCCCATCATGGTTGCCTTACTAAAACATATTGTTGAGGAATACCCTAAGCAGTATTGTCATCCCGATGACGATCCTTAAGCTAGGTCCTTGAATTTAAATGCTTTAGGGACAGAAAGTGAGGATAATGGGAATGGGTAATCGGGTTGATTGACATGATGACATTAATAAACTTATTTATTATGGGTTAAAAACCCTATGTGCTCACCAGGTCAAGCTTGACCCACTCCATTTCTTGTATACAGGTAGTGACATAAGAGCATAGATGCGATGATGTGATGATGGATTTTGGATTGTAGGCCAGTAGAAATAAATAGATGCTGTAAGGCCTATGGTATTTCTGCTTATGCTTTTGATATGTATTGACAATGACATCCCAAGGTTTTTAATATAACGAAAATATATTTCTTCGGAAATGCTTTGATAAATTATTTAACATATTTTTTGGAAAAAATTCCGCAACATATTTCTATAAAAGGATACTCTGATTTTCAAATAAAGCATAAACAAAGTGGTCTTTTATGGCAGTAAAATTGAGGATGTCACACGATAGACTTGCTTGAGGTACTTCTAGTTGAGTCGCGAGAGTTAAGAAGGATGTGATTTTTATGATCGGCTCGAGGATTGTATCCAGAGGCTGAGTGATTGGCAGATGGATTGGGATGTCAGTATCCATGACAGGGGTTACGTTCTTCCAGCTTCCCATTTTTGAAAGAAAGAGGGAACATGTATGTGATTTTTTGAATTGGGATGTAGACCCAACATGGGGCTAGATAGTTGCAGCTTTTGATAGCAAGTATGGTAGTATGGGAATGCACATGAGAATTCATGTGGTAAGGGTGCTTTGAGATACGATCAAGGGTATGCTTTATTTGAATATAGGCGGGTTAGGTGCTAGTCCAATTTTATAGATTAAGGATCGGTGCTATTAACAGACTGTCAGAATTATTTCTTAGGCATCTACATGGGATTTGTTGAGTTAGGGGCGGTTATACCTGGGAAGTTCCCGGGATTTCCATCTAAGATTCATAGTCTCTTTGAGCTTGCTTGATTCTTTTCTGGAAGATCATCTTGTGTTGGGATATACATGCCAAGAGCTAGGGTTGTAATTTGAAGGGAAAAGGTTTTTATTTCCTTGCCCTCCTTAAATGAAACTCAAGAACATATTTCATTGTCTTTAAACTTTTCCCTCCTAAAAAAACTCGAGAACACAACTTTCTTTTCCTTTCCTCTCATTTCTATTCTCAGAAAACTCGAGAACATGATGTAAGTAAAATAATAATTCAGTACAGAAGCAAGTGATTAGAAAGTTTTTCGTTGACTTATATTCATGTTATATTGGCATCTAAAACAACTAATATCCTAACATTAAGGTAACAACTGTTTTTTGGATTGATCAGCTAAGCTTTAAGGATTTTCATATTAAGGTTTTGGAAAAAACATAATTTATGGCATGGGTGAGAAGGGACCATGATGCGGACATGTCATTTAAGTAGCAACGCGGTCATGTATGGACCTCGATGCAGTTGCAGCTGGGATTAAAACCTTTGATCTCAAACCTTGGGCTTTATATAATGGTGTTGACTTTTAGGTTTTTCTCATATCATCATCCTCCAAGTGTATTATAGAGAACCCTGGCCTTTTTTGTATCCATTTGTGAAATTCAAGCTTGCGGTGAGTGTTTGGTAAAGAAAGAAGCATTTGGTGTTGTTCAATGTGACTTTAGCATCTGGATCATGCTCATGAAGCATTTGGAGCACTTAGATCATAATAGAGCACTTGGGGTTCATAAAGCATGTGACAAAGGAATGGATCATTAGATAAAGGAACAAATCAAGTGACAAAGGAGAAGATCTTCAACGTAGAGTGGCTTGTAGAAACTTAGAGTGTCTTGGAGCAACTTGGATTAGTTTGGAGCAACTTGTAGTACTTGGAGCACTTAGAGCAATATGAAGCAACATGTTGCTCCATGAGTATGGATGTTGCACCAAGCATACAGGATGTTGCGTCATGGGGTTATATCTTGCTCCATTCATGAAGGTCTTGGGCCAAGAGGAAAAGGGTTGTGCCAAAGGAATGGATGTTGCACCATGAGGGAGTGAGTTGTACCAAGAGGTTGATGTTGCACCATCAAGGAGTGGATTTGCACCAAGGAAGAGAAGTTGTGCCATATTGAGGAGAAGTTGTGCCATCGTCATGAGATGTTGTGCCATCATGGACCATCTTGGTACATGATACACCATCTCGATTCCTTTGTTGTGCCATGTTGATCCATGGTTGGCTAGAAGATGATCATACTCAAGAAATACACCATGTTGTGCCACCATGATAGATGTTGGGCCATTAGTGTTCATGATACACCACATGTGCATCATGATGCTCCACTATGGTCAAGGTATCCCATCAT